TAAAAAGGCAGTATGTTCTTTCACACAGACATGTAGTACAATCCAATCGATTACGAGTCTTTAATTAGTCTGACCTAATGTGGTTTCACATTAACGTTAGGGCTGCGAATTCAATTAAGAGCATTGCTGGAAAAAAGTGTCTTACAAGTGCCGAATACAGCAGCAGCTCCTGACTCGGAGCAGATATTTTCATGCTCTTATCCACCATCTGCTGCACTGACAAGGTGTAGCCTCTCAGTGATGGTTAATTATGTGCTGTACACTGGCAGAAATGCATTAGTGGAGGAGCTGTGCTCTAGTTCATGCAGTGAACTCAACCTTTCATGTTGTGAGACTGATTAAACCTTTAATCAAAAGTTATCAAAGTTAGGCACGCTTTTTTTTTTTCTTTTTTGTTATGACGAACCTCCAACTTTACCCAGCATTGAACATAGTCACCTTTTGGTTGCCTAGCAGCAAGAAAGCAAGGAGACTGATAACAGCAGAGATGTGGGATCCTTTTTGTCTCTGTGTGACAACATGACAAGTGTGACTCCTTTAAAACCGCCTCACAAACACACACTCAGGATTTTTCCACTCAGACATACACGATCATACACTCAACTACTTGTCTGTCATTGACCGCGATTGCATGTCCAGCAGATTTTTTTATCCACTTGTATTAATTTTAGTGACCAGCTGATGGAATCAAAGTCCAAGATTTGACCTGAGCCACTCCAGGATGATGTTTCAGACCTGGAGCTGCTAAGGGAACTCTGTCTGCTGTTTGGCGCAAAGATTGGAGCTTACATGCGTTTTTATCGGACAGATGGTTCACAGAGACAGAAATTGTATATCATTCATATCCAGGAAAGGCTTGACATTCGAGTGGTAACCCTAATGTGAACACGGTTGATACTACTTGCTCTCTTCCGGGGTTAAATGAAGTAATTTCTTTGTGCTGAAACTCCAGCCATGGGATCAGAAGTGAAAAGCTGAATTTAGCCTAATGTGAGAAGAAGATGGTGTGATATCTACATCAGTGAAAAGGTGTTGTGACATAGCTGGAAGACATCGCGCTAAAGATGACGTTTTTAATCAAAATAATGAAGATTGTGAGGAAAATATCGACGACTTGGAGACTTGTTAAAAGGAAAGTAAAATAACCAGATCACAGTTTCTTAACTAGAAAAGCACTCGGAGAGCGCAGACCTCCACCAAGCAGCTCATGTCCCCCTTATATTGTGATTCACACCAAAACTTTGACTGTTACGTGTCTTTTATTAACTTTTATTTGTGTTTAAACTGGTATGTTCACTGTTCATAATGTTCCTAAAACAAGAAATGCCCTGACCCGGATTCAAACCCAGGACCTTCTTATTGTGAGGCGACAGAGCTAACCACTACACCACTGTGCCGCCTATCTACACCACTGTGCCGCCCATTGGTTATCTTTCAGCATTGAAAATTCCAACGACACCCTTATTTTTGTGTGTTCTGGATCACAGTATCCAGAATTTTGTCTGGATCAGGATCAACCTTTGACACCTCATAAAACTCATTGAGATCCTTTTGTGTCGTTTTTTTACTAAAGACTCTGGACATTTTTATAGAGTTAAACGCAAAAATTCCCAAATGTGCCCTATCTCACAATGATAAAGAATCCTTCAAAAAAATTCCTGGATCCAGAAGGCGATCCGGATCACCACCAAAATGTAATGGGATCCTCCTGGGGCTGAGACGCACCTCTGGTGAAAGTTTCAGGTCAATCCGTCTGTAACTTTCTCCGTAAAGTTGCTAACAGACAAACAAACAAACAAACAAACAAACGCTACCGAAAACATAACCTCCTTGGTGGAGGTAACAAACTGCCTTCCAGTATTGAAAACTAAAACCCCCTTTATCTAACGTCACCCCGGAGAGAGAACCACTCATGGGTCTCCATTAGTTCTCATAACAGACGAAACCCGGAGACGTCACAGCGATCCTGGTTCAGACTGTACAGACAAATATCAACACATCCTCACCAGACTTCAGTCCCACATTAGTCATGGTGTCTGACAAGCTTCAGCAACAAGATGGAAAATAATTGCACCAGTCCTTTAATGTCACTGCACAGCATATCACTCATTACTCCAAAAACTGCTCCACTACACTAAGAAACAAACACTCACACACACACACACACTCACTGCTGTGTTTACAGCCTGCTCTTCCCACAGCTGAAGCTTCAAAACACAAGCGCAGAATATTCACCACCAGCTATATTCTGCACTCTGGAGCCGTCTCGCTGAATCTCAACACAAATCATTTCTGAAGTCAGCCCACAGTTGCTGTTGCAGGAGTTACAGAGCAGCTGACGGCGGCTTCATCGACTCATCACGTAGCGAGCGGCTAAAAATCACACGGCCCGGAAACGGTGGTGTGTGTGCTGCCGATTCAGACGGAGCGGCAGTAACCCTATCGTGGATCTGAATATAGATATTTCATCTTAGCTGGATGCTTCCTCTTTGATAGTCTTATGCATATTCATTAAGCGTGATATCCACCAGAAGGTTATTATCCATAAATGTCACTCTGTAATTAATTAATCCTGTCTGCTGGTTGCTCTCCCTGCCTCATTAATGAGCCAAGTCGAGCTGATTGTATTCATATTCATGTGTCCAAATATACAGCTCTATTTCGGATTCAGACGCCAGAATATTTCACTTCATTAGCGGCAGGAATCGCCGCAGGGCCGTTTGACAGGCAGGATCTGCGTTCTGATTCTCCCGTCCTGTCAGCGGCGCGCTCAGGATCCCGTTTGTCTGTTTGGCTTGTTACAGTAATGAGGACACACACAGACGCGCGCTCGCCCAAAAAAAGTGAGAGGATGTCCTGGTCGCCGAGGCAAAGTTTACTCACATTGGAATGAGAAGCACCTTGGACGGGTAATGTGGTCCAAGGAGACAATTATGGGGGTAATTTTGTGCTGTTTAGCAAATTGATTTTTTAAGCTATCCCAGAGGCACATCTATTACTGTTGGTTTGAGTTGGTTTAATAAAAATCCAATATGAATTTGCACAAAGCAGAGATGAGTAACTGGAGCACATTAGGCTAATAGAGAAGAATACCACAGCTCACCGATGGCGTGCAAATAGTTTGACATTTACCCCGCCATGCACTCAATTATGAGGTGAGATTTTCGTCCTTAGGCTCTCCACGGTAATGTGCGCCGCTTTCTGCAAATGGTTATAATCTATACGGGCTTTAAGGGACAGGGAAACACATGCCGTGACGATATGTGTGCTTGTGGCGGGATGGCTAGATGCTAAGGGAGATAGCATCGTAATTGGAAGCTCACATGTCAGACCCCCTCAACATCTGCCGGGTGCAAAGTGAGCATAGTGTGAAATCCCCTCTCGTGTTCGTCTCTCACTTCTGATAGGAGCGTCAGCGGATGTTTAAAACATTCATGTAAATTGAAGGACTCGAGCAGAGGTCTTCCTTCATGTGCCCGAGGCTTGTGAATTAAAATCAGCTCTGATACATAAAAAACAGAGAGAGAGAGAGAGAGAGTTACAAGTTGAGAGTCAACTGGTTTGCTATCTGGGTGCTATTTGAGAGTGATAGGGAAAACACAGAGGCACAGAGTGAGAATATAAAGGACTAGAATGAATACACGTTATCGTCTGCGTGGATTTAAAGTGACTTTGCTTCATTTATTTATCCCTGAGTGAAAAGACAGGGGTCTCCGAGTTCGAGCTCAAGCGGTTGACTGTCATACATGAACTAGATGTCCATGACTCGGCATGGGTGTGAAGTTTTTCCTCGTGGTTTTCTCACAGTTGATTTAAGGATCTGAATATTACGTTATTTCTCAAAAAGGGAGATTGACTGCGGCTCTTCTCTGTGCCCTTCATGCCTGGGGCCAGCTGTGACTCACCACTACGAGGATGAGTAATGGAGAGACAAAGAGAGCAAGGTTGCATAAAAGTAGGACGAGTTGAGTTTAACTGAGGCAGAGAGACGTCTTCACTTAGGAAAACAGCTATAAATACAACCGAGACAGAGAGAGTCAGAGTCACAGAGTGGAGTCTGATCATGGCCAGCCTGAAAACAGCATCAAATGTGTGATACCTGACCACACACACACACACACACACACACACACACACACACACACCTACACACACACACACACACACACACACACACCATATCACCGTAATCTCAGCCTTTTAACACTGAGGCAAAAACATCTCAGGCAAAGAAGTAAGTAAAGCAAAAAGAAGCCGCATCTATGATGGGTGTCCTGCAATCCAGGCAACAGCAGCAGTCAGTCAGTGCGTTTACATGGGCACAAATAATCGGAATAAACGCCCGATCAGATTAAAAATGCGTCATGTTAACATGTCAATCGGAAGTTTCTGATCCAATTCCACTCAATCGGAAAGAAATTGTATTCCGATCGAGAGGGGTGGTTTATGCCGATCGTTATTCCGAAACGTGTCCGTAAAAGCGCTTCTTAACTCTTCACTCTTTAGCCTTTGGTTTATTTATTGAGGTCAGTTAAGGAGGTTTCATTACGAACACTCTGGCATAAAACACAACCGCAGGTGCCGTCGTATCTGCTCCTCCGATAACATAACAAGGCGTACATACCAGTGTTGTTTTTTGTGACGATCACGTCATTGTCAACGAAAACAGAACTGCAGAATATATGTTTAGCATTTGACAAAATGCTCATGAATTTTGCAACTCTGTTCGTCGTCCACCACCAACATTTTCGTCTAGTCTCGTCTCGTCATGTAAACGCACATTCGTCTCGTCACATTTTAGTCATCTAAGACTTATATTTAGCTCGTCAACGTCACGTCTTCGTCGTGGAAAAAAAGGGGCATTGACGAAAATAAAACAACCAGTGGTACATACAGCCTGATGTTGTCACATCTGTACGCTCAGTGCAACCTTTGACAAAACAGTAAAATAAGCACGCAAGGGCGCCATCTGGTGACAAAATTTAACAGGGAGAAATCCTAAGTGAGCCACAATGGCGTTTTTGACAGCACAGGCGTAAATACAACTCTTCTTCTTCTGCAGTTATTTTAGCGAAATTAGACAACTCTGAGCATGTCCAAATAAAGCTTGGCGCATGTATACGTACGTCATGATCAGATTATTTGATTTTGCACCCATATAAACAGTGGATTCAGATTATCCGATCCCTCAAATTTAAATCGGATCAAGAAATTTTGCCCGTGGAAACGTGGCTCGTGACAGAATCTTGAAGTTGCTGGTTGCTTTTACTTAACTTGAACCACAAGCCTTCTCTATGCATTACCACTTACCTAACCCGCCCTAGAAAATAAGAACCGGACACCTTACAAGTACAACACAATCATAGATGATGCATTAATTCAAAAAGAATCAATCACTGGGGTAAGAAAAGACTGAAGAGCAGTGACGTATCTGCTGAACATCATCAACTATCCTTCCACACTCTGAGAAGCTGCTTTGTGATGTTGGAGACAGTCCTGTGTGCTCTCTGTGGTGAGTCATACCTCAGGGTTCTTGGATGCAGCATGTCGTGGTAAACAGCGATGAGATGGCCTCCGCTCTCGTCAGGGATGGAGCTTTTTGTTTCTGGCGGGGCTGCTCCTGGAAGAAGGTTTTTAATAAATTAATAATGCTGTTCCTTTTATCAAACAGAAGCTGAGAGGATTATCTCAAAAAACACTGTCACTAAGCTCAAATCAAGGCTGTTATTCCCGTCCTGGAAAAAAAAAAAAAAATTACGGTTTAGATACACGCGGCTCTCCCTGGGGAGTGAAGTGCACGAGCTCATTAATCCTAAAAAGCAATGAATTACCATGATTAGCTGACATTAGCTGTCTTTAATCAAGCTTTGCGGTTAATTCACTTTCAAACAACTCAGGGAAAACTTGAGGAATTCAGAGTTGAGCGAACCTTCTTGACTTTCAGCCGTTGTCTGACAAAGTTTCCATTTTTCAAAATTAAACTGCGGTGAAGACAAAAAGAATGCTGTTAGCAAGCCAGCTTCTGTTTAATGGACTATTAGCTCCTTGTTAGCCAACAAAAAAACAAGGCCAGAGGCAAAACTAATATGCAGGTGTCACAAGATAAACTAAGCTGCTAAAACACAGGACTAAATGAGCTCATTTAAAACGCCGAGCTGGTTCAGAGGTCGAGCTGGAAAAGCTTTTAAAGGACAGATACATCCGTCAAGTTTCAGCATTTCAGCACAAATTTTTTAATTTTGCATCTAAACATACAGGAAATGTCCTCTACATGCATAAGTATCAAATAAATGAATTATATCTCTTACTCTAACATGTGGAAGTATGAAAAGTAGTCTTCCTGCAGTGCGTTCTTAATCTCTTTATCGGACATATACCCTCCTGCAGCGTTTCCAGGGATTAAAATTAACTCTGAAGAAATGATCTATTGTGTTGCTGATGATCTTGTTTGAGGCACATTCACAGTGTGTTCCATAACCAGCTCAACAGCCTCAGAGGAGCTTTAAAAAAGCAATCATACACTTCCTTTGATCAAACAACATTACCGACCAAATACCATGAGATTAAGATCTTTAAATGTTGGCAACGAGTGCAACAGTTTTAATGCTGCCAAAATGAAGTCAAATTAAAAATTGAGAGTCAGTTTAGGTTTGATGAGCGAAACAAAGACAATGGATTTATCAAAGATGGAGTTTAACTCTGCCCACTTCTTAAAAAGGTGACTGAAGGTTCAGGTTGGTACTTTTTTTACCCTTTTATATTTCCATTTTTACTTTTAGTGACATTTAACGTTCATCGCTTTGATTCCAAAACACTTCTTTGCTTGTATATTGAACTATAAAATGGAGATAAGGTTGTATGAAGGCGGAGTCTGGTTAAAAATGCCATTACCTCAAGACAGGGAGGATGCAATGCTAGCAAATGCAAGAAGGACCTAAGGCTGGTGGTGCCAGCCAGTGTTGTATAGTAAGTCGCAGTACTTGAGTATAATTTGGTAGTATCTGTACTTTAATAGTTTTTGACTACATTTCTGAAAATAAAGTTTACTTTTACTCCACTACATTTCACAGAAGCATCTCCACTCCTACTATTTTTGCTTCATTACTATGACAGTGGGTAGGGGGATAAAAGGGGCTTAAGTGACTTTTGCAAAAAAATAAAACATATTCATTTGTAGTTTGACTTTTTACTTTTACTTGGAGTACATTTACTTGAGTACTTTTGATACTTAAGTAGAGAGAATGTGATATACTTAAAGACTTCGACTTGAGTAGAATTCTCATGGGAGACTTTCACTTTGACTTGAGTCATTTTCTGGAAAGGGAACTTCAACTTCAACTTACGTATATTTCTTTGGTACTTCATACAACACTAGTACTAGCTCTGCTGATGTTAGCCACACCCGAAAAAACGGATTTGACGCTGTTTAGTGCAGAGACTTTTTAAATTTTATTTTAGACCAATCTGATTGTTGAATTTTAAACTTTTATGTAAATGAGAAGAGAATTCTAACGTCCTAATGAGTGGTTCACGCCTAAAACATGAATTTCAGTATGAAGTTACAGTTTGATTTGTAGGCCTGGATCCAGCTTTTGGACATGATCTTTGGCAGAACGATTCACATGATTTCCTGTTTTTACAAATCATAACAAAGTCCAAGACTAATTTTAGATCTGCCCAAATTTGCTCTCGTATCACAATTTCCCGTAATAAATAGAGACAGATCTCCGACAGGGGAAAAATACAGAGGAAGCACCCCTCCCTGGTGCTGCTTTCGATCGCAGCCAGAGAGAAATTATGTGTCCTTCCTGAATTTGTCGTCACATGACAACAAATTTGTGCAGTTGCCTAGAAACAAGGGATGGGTCAACTGATGCAGCGGCTCATCTTTACCCTCTCCACACTACATAATACCTCACACTGTGAATTTAAATGACTCTCATCCAGAGTTTCCTGCTGTTTGACAGTGAGTCTACAGATCAAATTAAACCTGAAACACAGAGTTCAACAGTGCGAGCGCAGCGATTGTGTTGAGTATTTCAGGGTCATTTTTAGATGCTGTCTGCTGTTGTGTTATTAAGATGTGGATAAAAGCCATATCACCATGTTTTTAGTGCAGTTATCACACTCTTTGATAGCAAAACAATACACTAAGCATTACTAATTTATGAGGTTTAATCCTGCTTATGTGGAAGTTAAACATACTTAAAATGCAGCCAGCAGCACACCTCCTCTCTGCAGTAAACACAGCTTTATTATTAGGACTCTTACTTACCTGACCATACCTGCAGCAGGCTCATGAATACTTAACAATCCCCGTGTGGCTCCTATGCAGAAATAATTCTACTTTATTGAATTATTTAGATGTCTAAATGCTTATTAGTTCATTTCTGGTATTATATCTATATCTCATTGTGATTCAACTCCAACAAGCAAAGACATTAATACCAAACACGACGCTGAAAGTTCTCCATTGCACAAGGAGGTGCCCTTTCATCCAACACAAAAAGGTGTTTCACAGCTCGGCTGTGTATGCACAGACTCAATTATGTCTCCTGTAGCCGGGAGCTCGATAATGAAAGAGCCCTGAATCACAGCACAGAGAGATAAAGTGACCAGCCTACGTGACTTCTTCCAGATTTCCATCCTAATGTATTTATCTGTGTCTGCACTGAATATCAAAACGCCTCCCTTCCCTCTCTTCCTCCTTCACAGGCGCTCCACACACCTCATGTGTGTGTCTCCTTTTTAAAGGCGCTGCATCATTTTGAAAGAGTTACAACCTGAAGTAATTTGGGCCCAGTCCCTTGGAAAATCCTCCCGGTGTGTCCTTGAACACAGAGCCTGCCGTGCGAACAGCCATAAAGCTCTCATTTGTCATCTGGATTGTGCCTCAGTTCCCCCCAGAGCTCGCTTGTAGGGACTGGAAAAAAGGAGACAGCATGAAGACTGTTTTATCTTTTCATGTTTAGCCGCTTTAATAAGAAAAAACAGAGGTGCTGAGCCTTTGTTTTACTCCACATCTGCTCTTGTGTTTCCTCTAACAGCCTCTCTGAAAGCCAATTCAAGACGCCTGGGCTCTGACATGACTTTAGCTTGGTACATTATACTGAAAGTCAGCAACTTCTGAAGATATGAAGAATTCTGCTCCCAGTAGCTTCTCTTTTTCTTTTTCTGCGAGTTACAAGGGTAACATTGAGTTTGACAGATGTGAATGCAGGAGGAGTGATGTTATGGCGCACTCAGCTGTACCTCCAAATAAATGGAGACCGGTGCATGCAAGGGCTTTCATGCAATATGGGAAGGAATGCTCATGATGTGAGCAGTAAGGAGAAAGACCATGGCACCAGGAGTCTGTTGAATAAGAAAACACCTTCTGTGTGCCAAAAAGGTGGCGAGCTTCAGAGTGTGGTCATCTTTACAAATGCAAGCCTTGAGAGAATTTTTCTTGCACAGGTGTAAACAAACCCAAAAATACCAATGGAGATGAAAAAGTTGAACATTTTCTATCAATTAAGTCAGAAATTGATTTGAAGGAGTAAGAAAAACAAGCAGATTTTTTTCTCCCAGCAAGATTTGGCACCTGCCCACAGCGCCAAAACAACCAAAAACTGATTTGCTGTCCCTGATATGAGTGGGCTTGACTGGCCTGACCCTAACCTCACAGAGAATCCGATGAAGTAACTTGTTAAGATATTCTCATTCCACTTAAATATTTGCATCATCCATCATCCTGCAATGTGATCGAGCAGCCTGACAGTGTTTTTTTTAAACACTGCATGTTAAAAATGCATCCATTTTCTGGTACTAATATGCATTTTTAAGCGCTAAATGTTATTCTGCAACTCTCTCCCTCCTGAAATAGTTATCAACTGGGTGACATTGTTTCATCCTGACACTGTCTGGCAGCTTTAATTCGTGTAAGAATGTACCTGCCATGTTTTTCATGCCTCTTTACACAAAGCAAGCCAATTCATTCATTCCCCGGTAGTGGTTTTCTAATATTAAGGTATGCAGCATACCCATATATTAGAAACTGTGAAGTTTCGTTTTTTTAGTTAAAAGAGACTGATCTGGAAAGAGCATCCAGCAGCAAGTAAAGCTAGATTTTTATGGTAAATGGTGGTTTAGAAGTTTCCGGGAAGTAGAATTAATGGTAGGTGTTGCTAAGTGGGGTTGCATTACACTACCCTAGTGTTCATAACATTATAAAATGCACTACCTGGCATTCAGTCCTCTTGGCCTCACCTTTCATTTGCCTTGTTTGCCAGTGACACAAACTTGGTGCTCCTTGTCTGTTTCACAAGCTTCCTTCCTTAATCTTTGATACCTGAAAACAGTTTCAGTAAATGTTAGCACAGCTAGCTAGCCGGACTGTAACTGTTATTTTTCGACGCAAAATGAGTCTTTAACAAAACTTCGCAGTTTTGGACCAAACTAGTCCAATTTTATTTCAAACTTACCAAGTCTGCTCCTTCTCTGAAGCTTGTTAGTCTTTTGGTATCCATTTCGTTTGTAGTTTCTGCCAGCCTCGCCCTCTCACGTCAAGTGAAGGGGATCCATTCGAAAGGGGGACATCTTCGGTCAGTACCGCCCGTTTGTTGATTGGCTGGTTCCAATGTCAAGTGACGAGCGGGAGGTGTTTTGACGAAATTGGTTACCCACTTAAGTTGTGTTCCACCTATCGTTGATCAGTTAGCTTAATGAAGACCCAGACAAGGTAAGATAAAACAGAAGTATAGCTGTAAAAACGTGTTTTCTTGGCAGAAATAATAGTATAGAAGTGATACAGGAATGTAATAACACAATTTAAAACATTTAAATGCTGTAATGAAGGGATTAGCATTAGCCTGAGTATTAGAACAAAAAAAAGCCCATTACCCATTAAGACAACAATGTTAACACATTTATTTCAACGGCCTGTTAATTTTGTGGTTGATTTGGGAGGTTATGACACAAAAAGAAGAGAATAATGATCACAAACATTCAATTGTGTTATATTTAAAACTGAAGATAATCCCTTTCAATGGGTTTTTGCCAGCTGTTGCTCCACAAGCCATAGTTGTCAAACCTTGAAAGAGTAGGCATTTCAGTATTGATAAAAAGACTCAAATACCTAATCCATTTGTTTGTCACTTTTTTTATGAGTGCCGCGCTGCCAACCAAATAGGCAGGCCAACCTGGCATTTGAAAGAATCTCCAGTCTGAGTCAGCAACAATACTTTTCGCCTTGACGGATTTATTGTAGCATGATTCTTGAATAAGAATTAGTCAGTACACCTCCAGTTCACCTGCCGCTTCCCTTCTTCCCTCCTGTCAAATCAAAGGCACGTTGGACCTCAGCTGGGAGAGTCTGAAACCAAGCAGATTAAGAAGAGCGGTGGGCTGTACCTGCCAAAAAGCTCTCGGCTGGATTTGCCCACGTGGCTATAAGTAACTCCCTCACAAAGTTTGTGAAATTATTTTGTGTGTGAGCCTCACTGTGGATTCTAAGGAGGCATTTAAGTGCACGCGTGTGACTGAGAAAGAAAACTTCAACAATGGTGGGGAGATTTCTTCCCAGACTTCCCAAACTTCTCTTGTAGTTTGGATTAAGGTGCTGTCGGCACACAGTATCATGGGAGTGTCTGCAAACGGAAAGATTAGGGGAGAAATATTACCTGAAGGCTTCCTGTGCTATCTTTCTTCTCATGGCGTGTGGCTTCCAAGAGACATACAAGAGACTAAAACACAGTGCTAGCTGATGTGTGGGACTTGGTATGTGGTCTGGCACTTCAGTGGTTAGTGGTTCAGTTTCTGTGCTGGGAAAAAAGTAATCACCTGTAGCAGACTGTGAGGCAGGTAGGAGACGACTTCAATGCCTTTCCTTCCTCGTCTCTGCATCTCGTCATCCAAATGAAAGCGTGTTTGATGTGCAGACTCCCTTTGAGCCCCCTGTGGGAGATGAAGTTGAAGTTTGTTCCTCTTGTTAACAGAGGCCCCTTGCAGCCAGGATCCAACAGGCTGCCCGCATGGGAAGCAAACTTCTGAGAAACCTTATCTGCTGCCTTCAAATGAGTCCTGAAGAGGGGGCAGCTTTGTTATCGAGCAGTGTGGCTCCACTGTGCTACTCTCAATTGTTTTAATTCCTCCTTTGAGCAGAGCTTTTCTGTCTCTGGCTATTATCATTAAAGCACTTTCTGCTGTTTCAAGAAGGCCAGATTTAGATGCAACACAGTTACCATTTAAAGCAGGAGTAATGGAGGTTTAGAAATGACCTTGATGAAAATAGCACCCTGTCCTCAGGAAAAATGAGCTCTGCCAACTTCAACTGTGAAAAAATTAAAAGCTATTACAGTTGTGTCTTTGTGGAGGAGTCGGCTTTATCTGACTATTGCACCAGACTTCAGCACAATGCAGAGGATTATAATGAAATCCGGTTCACCCGGTATCAGTATCTACAGAACTATATATATTTTTTACAGGCTGGCTCAGTGCTACATTACCTCAGAGTAAAGCCTAAGAAAAAAAAAAAAGGGGATTCATTTTAGATTTTCTTCCATGCTGCGGCTGCTGCTTCTGTACTTATTGAATCTCAAACTCATTTTTTCTTTCTGTTGAACTTATTCCCACACTCGTCAGACTTACAAACCAATAAATGTTGCTCTAACTTAAAAATAAAGCAGTTTAGTCTGGAAATTTGAGAATAATGAGTACATTATACTGATTATAGGTCTTTAAAGGGCATTACCACTGTTTTTTGTGAACTGATTTGCATTAACAGATGATATCTGTCCCTCAACAGCACACCGTGTTAAGAAAACGCAATGAGTGGACACAGGCCCTTCGACGTACAAGAAAGTTGTTATCAAAATCCTTCAAGCTACCACTTGTGTCAAACCTTTTTGTTCCAAAAGTAAGTACGTTTCTCTCCCATGAATGTCAGGGAATTTTAGCCCTTTAATCTACTTTTGCAGTAAGTAACCTCTTAGAAACTGAGAAATAACCCATGAGCAAATACTGCACAGAACTATGGCTTTGATTGTTCGGCTCAAAAATACTTGAACGATCCTTTCAGACACCCACACATGAGCTGGAGGGCTGTTCAATGCTGAAAGGAGAAAGAAATGAACCACAATGTTTTTCGTTCTCTTCTACCAGGACATGTTTATTTACAGCGGCAAATGACAGGAGTCACAAGTGTTTCCACAGGTACGTACAGAGAGACATCAATAGTTCCCACCTCCTGCACAAAGCACACTCAGCGGGGACAGTCCAAGGGACACGGGAGCATGGGGACAAGAGGACATACACTGTACACTGAGCGCAAACACACCTGTTTTACCCCCTACAGAAAAAGGACTGAGGTTTGGTGAAGGAGGAGGACGAGAGGAGAGGATAAGAGGGAAAGGAGGGGGTTGGGCATTTCGACTCATATTCAAATACAAAAGAACATGTACAAATCGTATAGCCTCCAGGCACTGTGCTCCTATATTTACAGTCGTCGTAACAGGCAGCGGAACCACTCCATGGCAGGACCATCCGTTTGAGATATGCAGGTACAAGGGCTTGCTGTGAGGAAACAAAGCCAGCGCTATGAGGTCTGAGATAAAAACCAGTGGAGTCTGAGAGGCAGGAAGGGGGGGCGGTGGCGGCGGCGGCGGCAGACACATGCAGAGTGGAGTGCTGCAGCCTGGGGAATTAATCACTGTCAAGAACTACATAATCAGGTTTTACCTATTGGAGCGCGCTGTGAGAGCTCTCGCCAAGTCACTCCACACTGAAAGAAGAACACACTCACAGCACTTGGACATTCATACTTGGCACGTGGTCATGAACCTGTATGACTTGCACAGCTGCACAATGCATCGTGGAACTGAATCGTGTGCTCAATAATTAATCGAATATAAATAGCTCAACAAAAAGAGAATAAATTATAAAGAAAATAAAGCCAGAACAGAGAGGTTATTTCAAATCAGGAGACTCTTATTGTGAAATTTTTAAATGGACACACAAACACTGATGACTTACAGTACGTGCAGATACATTCAACAAACATACATGCAACCTGATTCATGTAGACAAGTGTTATCACCCGCACATGCATGTATGCACACACACTTTCACACACACAAACACACACACGTGATGATGCATTACATTGAATTAGAACCAGATTTCTGCAGCCCATCACTACACTCAAGAGTTACCTGACATTTAGAAGTTACACACATCTTCTGTCCAGTGTCATCGACTATAATTCCTACTTCTACTACATTTCCCAGAATTCACAGCATTACAATTGAACCGGTGGCGAAAAGCAGCAGTTTGATCGTGGACACTGCTGAGGCGGCATTAGGCCTCAAGAGAGGGAGGGGGGGAAAAAAAGGCACACTAATGCCGTGGTGACTGACTGCGAATGCCGTGGGGAGCAGGTTTTCTCAAGGGAAACAAATGACTAGTTAAAAAAGCAGTAGTACACTGTCACTGAACTTTAGACTGAAACACAACAAAAGGAGGAAAAAAAGAGAACAAAAACAGCTTTTTGTCTGAGGAGTGTTCACGAGAAAAAGCCAAGCCTGTTGCATTTTGAAAAAAGACACATCCTTTCAGGTATATTTACATAAAAGCTTTGTAAAATATTCTTTTTTTCACCTATGTACAACACATGACAACATCAGAGAGATTTTAGATCAAGAACAAAAGGTAAAAAAAAATAATCTGAGATTGATTCGACACAAAAATGAAAAAAGAAATTTGTAATCGAAAGCATCAATGGTGGACGTGTTAATTGTGTCTTTAATCTTTACTCGGCTTCTTTGAGTCCTACCATTCGCTGCTTTGTCTGATGATGGCAACACATATCAAAAACCACTCAGGGTATTTACGGGGAGGCATTTTAACTCTTCATTTTGGATGACTAATCATGATTTTGAGGTGCACATCATACTTTTTCAAGAATAGTCGGGCATCGTCAGCGTAAAGAGTTAGCCAACAATGACATCAGTGCAACTTTTTTGTTTTGAACACCATAGAAGGCAAAATATCACTCTTTTTACTTCATTAAAAGATTTTTGTAGATTGTTTTCTTGCAGCGAAAACTATCATCCACATTAGCCCTTCAGAAACCATGCTAATCAAAAATATTTGACTACTTCTTATCAGTTTTTATCTTCGTTCAATTTATTCTCACCAACTTCTCACAAGAACTTTGAGTCGAGGTGCTCTGAAGCAGATAAACCTCAAAGTTTATCTGCTTACCTTTTGCTACTCAAGCTAGCAAGCTTGAAATCCTTCAACGTTAGCCTTGTGTTAGCCAAACACCTCGCACAGCTACTTGAGGCGTAAAAATGTTGCTATAGTGTGAGAAACAAGGTCATTTGCGTCTTAATTGTTGTACCAGCCCACAGTGAGGTTCAGCCCATGTGTTCACTCCGATAAAAAAAAGAGTGAGAGCATTAGCGGTGTATGCTAACATCAAGCTAACACAGTAGCTGAGCTTGCATTGGTTTAAGAAGTCATAGTGAGAGCCTGGAGATGTGATTTATCACCTTTTAGCTGCATGAAAGTCTGAAGTGGGAGGAAAAAAAAGGAAATAAAAGCATCAGAAATTGAA